CCAAGAAAGCTAAAAGGAAAAAAAAAAAAATCTTCTAAGAAGAAAATTCATTTCTAAAGGATAACCAAGCGAGAAAGACTAGATTATTTTTCTTTCTACCAAATTACTGAAACTTTTAATTATTTATCGAACCTTTCTTTGCTTGAGGGCAATCCATTATGTCAATTTGTCATTTAAAGATTAATCTTTTATACTAGTAAGTGCACTAGCTGTTCAAGTAATAAATTTTACGAGTAGAATGTCGATACTATGAGGAATGTGTATAAATTTTTGAATAAATTTCCAAATTTCCTAATACCCTTATTTTCATTTTTTTCGCTTTATCTAACAAATTGATAACTAAAGCTGTAACTATTAAACTTAAAAATAAAACAAAAGCATAATTGCATTATAAATAAATAAACCAATATGTCATGTGGCTAGACATGTTAATTTCACTTAACTTCACATATTCTGTTTATTGAATCTCAACGAATATTTACTATTTGTTGATCCTAAATTCTAGATGCTTTATCAGTTCATTCCCTATTCAAAGTGCTAAATAAACTAGTATATTTAACCAAACTGGCCAATATTTATTGAATAAGAAATACATTTGCTTGGCCAATAAATTATTGAATAAGAAAGCTAATAAAATATGGAGGAATAAGTTATTAACCCATATTATTCCTCCATATTATATTAGCTTTCTTATTCAATACACTTGCCTGGTTGCAATTCTTAGACCATGCATATGTTATTAACCCTCCCAAGCCTAATATTCTATTTGCCATATAGATTCAATTTAGAAATAATTTCATGAAGTATAGGGTATAGAATGGATCAATAAAATAGATTAAGGGTCATTGATCATTAATTAAATATTTTTTTGTAGTTTTAAGCTATATCGATCCCCTAGCTAAGGAATTTAGCTAGACATGCTTGCACTAATCACCAAAATTATCAGTCACCACAATATCCATGAAAATTGTACTTTAACTATAAACTAAACCCAAAAATAAATTTCATTATTGAGTATTGGAGGTAAAAATAGGGAGAGAGTGGAAAGAAAAACTCTTTCTGAAGCTCTTAAGCCATATTCCTCCTTCGTGATATCTCGTATTTTCTCTTTACTTCTAACTACCAAAATATTAGCCTCATTTGTGTCTTTTATCTCCTAAAACTTTATGAGTTATCAGCCTTTCTTCCTCTTGAAATAGATTTTGCTTTCAGGTTCAAAAATAGTCTAGAATGGGAAGTTTTCTCACTATAGCCCGTAAATATAAGTTACTTAAGCCTTGTGGATATTATTTGCTTGCTATAGTGGGAAAATTGGGTAAATTTTGTTTTTTTG